TGTCATGAGCATAGAGTGACTTACTGTATTCACATTACTGAAGAATTTTTTTTTTTCTTGTTTCCCTAATAATTATCTGACGTTACTTATCATCAGACAATTAAGCAGTAGGGCAAAGGAGACTGAATGGAGACAAAATGGGTACACTTATTTAGCGACCCCCAGACTGAGTGAAGGGCGGGCATAGTTGCTGCTGTAATCAGTAATTTGGAAAAGGTTCGGATAACAACATCTATAACAAAAATCATACAGTGTGGAATTTATAAAACTGCTTCACAGTTAACCATGGAGGTGTCAGTAGGCTCATAAAACCACAGACGTTACAGTGAGCTGTAGTGGTTATGGTGCTTAGAGTATCCCTTGAAAATAATTTAAAGGACCACTATAGTGCCAGGAAAACAAACTTGTTTTCCGGGCACTATAGTGCCCTGAGGGAGCCCCCACCCTCAGGGTCCCACTCCCGCTGGGCTGGATGGAGAGGAAGGGGTTAAACACTTACTTTTCTCCAGCGCCAGGCTCCCTCGGTGCTGGAGACGCTCCTCCTCCTTTCCCATCATCGGCTGAATGCGCACGCCACGCGCGCATTCAGCCAGTGTCATAGGAAAGCATTCTCAATGCTTTCGTATGGATGCTGGCATCTTCTCACTGTGAAAATCACAGTGAGAAGTGTGGAAGCGCCTCTAGCGGCTGTCAATGAGACAGCCACTAGAGGCTGGATTAACCCTAAAGTAAACTGCTATGTTTACAGCAGAAAGGGTTAATCCTAGGTGGACCTGGCACCCAGACCACTTCATTAAGTTGAAGTGGTCTGGGTGCCTATAGTGGTCCTTTAAGAAGTGTAAAAACCAAAAGTGTCAAAGATTGTGTGTGTAAAATTTTAAGATGATAAATATATATATTGAAATAAAGGAAGAATGGGAAGATTAAGACATTTAGGAATGTGAAAAAAAATGAGGTGAATTAAACCATATGAGTTGTTGAGGTGCAAAATAAATATGGCAAACCACCCTGATGCTGTGATGGTATTGTATGTCCCTAATTCGCAAGGTGTAAGCTGCCCTAAATATGTGAAATTGTAGATCAAGGTGAACAGGGCAGACAAAAGTGTATTGCTGATTTTTAAAATGACAAGGATTAGCAGAATACCACGTAAGTGTTGAAGAGCCAGATGCCTACAAACTAGTGAGAAAATATTCCTTAATGAGCCAGGTCAGGATTTCAGAAATAAATATAAATCAGAGTGTAGTCATTAGCAAGCCTTGTCGGAACCATACATAATGCTGCTCCCACCTATCTATCCTCCCTTATACACAAGTATGTCCCGTCTAGGCTCTTACGATCTGCTGAAGACTTACGTCTATCTTCAGTCCGTACTCCCACCTCTGATGCTCGCCTTCAAGATTTCTCGAGGGCTGCACCGTTCCTGTGGAACTCGCTTCCCTCCTCCGTTAGATGCTCACCCAGTCTCCATTCCTTCAAAAAATTGTTAAAAACCCACTTCTTCATAAAAGCGTATCAATGAAACTGTTAATAGCTCCTGACTGATTCCTCTTCTGCAACTGTCACTAGTCTAATACTATCCTTACCTTTTTGTGTCATTTTACCCCACTCCCTCTAGCATGTAAGCTCATTGAGCAGGGCCCTCAACCCCTATGTTCCTGTGTGTCCAACTTGTCTGGTTACAACTACATGTCTGTTCGTCCATCCATTGTAAAGCGCTGCGGAATTTGACGGCGCTCTATAAATATCATAATCATAATAATAATAATAATAATAACCAAGAAACGAAAAACAAACATTCTGGAGAGCTACTAGATCCATAAAAAACCAATAGATCAAATAAGGCTAGGGTTTAAAGGAACACCATAGTGTCAGGAATACAAACATGTATTCCAGGCATTATAGTGCTGGTGTGGCAGTTTAGGTCCTTGTCCCTCCATCAGAGCAGTAAAAAGTGTTTAAACTCACCTTTTTCCCACCCTGCGCCAAGAGCATTGGGAGGATATTGCGCATGAAAAGCAAAACGTCATACTGTGCTTTTCAGAAACTCCTCATAGAGATGCATTAAATCAGTGTATCTCTGTCGGGAACATTTAGCACCTTCATACAGAGCGTGGAGATGCTGAATGCCAGTGCAGCACACTGTGCAGCACTGACACAGGAATCACTTCTAGTGGCCATCTGAGTGACTGCAACTGGAGGTGTCCCTAGTCTATGAAAAGGCAGTGTTTATGTTAATTAACCTGCAGTGACATGCTATAGACACCAGACCCGGTGGAGCTCTAATCTGCAGCTCCGCCGGATTCCTCTCGTGAGTTCAGATCATAGCCACGGTTACCACGGCAATGCTCAGATCTCGTGAGAGTGAACTCTAGCCACGCAGGCTAGAGTTCACTCTCACTACTAGGACCACCAGGGACGGCAGCACGACCCCCCTCCAAGTCAAAAGGTAAGGGGGGGGATATAAAGTTTTGTTGTTGTTTTTTTTAATTAAAAAAAGTACATATTAAATATATTTAAATCTGTCCCCCCCACACACAATCCCTCCTAACATATTCACACACACGCACAGCACCCTCACACACACACAGCTTACTCACACTAACAGGACCCTCACACACAGCACACACACAACACCCTCACACACACATGGAACCCTCACACACCCAGCACCCTCACACACACAGCTCCCTCAGACACACACACGCATCACACACACACTAACAACATCCTCACACACACAGCACCTTCAGACACACACAGCACACTCATACACACAGCACACACATATATAATATATTAAATAACCCTTAGTGAGTTAACAGATATTAAATAACCCTTAGTGAGTTAACAGACAATTAGAAACATAGAATGTGACGGCAGATAAGAACACCCTCACACACACAGCACCCCTCTTACACACACCCTCCTCACATACACACACATGCTGCACCTTTTACACATATACACAGCACACCCAACACACGGCTCACTCACATACAATACATCCTAACATATATGTATATATACTACAGCTCCCCTCACACTGCACCTCTACACACATTACGCTCCAGATACACGCTAGATCCCTTACCCAACTCTGGATCATCTAATTTACACACACACACACACACACACACACACAATCTCCTATACACACTCTGGGTCTGTTACACACTAGATCCCTTACACACACACACTGCACCACCTACACACATTCCTGACATACAAACTCTGTATCCCCTATGCACACACTACATTCCTTGTAAGCAAACACATACTACATTCTCTAAACACACACTCTCCACAACCCCTACACCCTACACCCTACAGTCCGTATGTACACACTTGCTACATCCCCTAGCCAGACATATTACACCACAAACACAAATGAAATTGACCTATTTACACAATACCACACCTCAACCGGCTTACTCTACGCACACTAGCAGGCTCCAAACACATGCACGATACGCTTTCCTGGCCCTTTTGTCCTCTGGTATCCCACTTATGGAGATACCAGAGACAAGTTAAAAGCAAACACAGCGCAAGCATGTTATTAAATTGCCGGCACTCCGCAGGACAAATACAGGGCCCTTTTCTCATGCTAGAGCTCTTCATGCTCACCTTCTCAGGGGGCTGCTGTGATTGAAAAATGCCCAGGCTGAATTTTTTTTGCCAGTCTGGCCCTGTCTAGAGTACAAAAAGAGGGTATGGAGACACAAATCTTCTTCCAGTTGGAGGCATTAGAAATACTCAGCTGCTTCACTTTATTGACTATTAGAATTAATTTATTTCACTTGCATTTCACTTTTCTTTTTTTCAACCATTCTAAATTTGACAGTTTCATGAAATAGATATTTCTGTGGAAACTGGCAGAATATACTACAAAGAAAACCATCACTTTTTAGATCACTTTTAGAACACTTTCAGGCATATTTACAAAGCAATGATGAACATTACGTGTCATTGTGTGTATGCCGTTGAACTCTATAGCAGTCTTTCATGCCTCCACCTCTCATATCTGTATATTACTTCTTCTACTACATTTTATATGGTCCTCAGAATGGTTGAACAAACAAAGGGGAAAAAAAAGCAATTACATTGTAACTGTTAGCACTGTGGTTGCCTTAGTGCCCACTGATTCTGGGGCATCTATGGCAAGGGCTATTGCATTGCCATCACTGTAATATCATCTAGTTTACATGTATATACAGTGAGTCTGTTGCACTAGAATGTTTTCTTTCTTTTTTATTTTAGCTATCATTATTCACATTTAGGAAGATAAAATGCTACCATCAGCTCCACCACGCAGGCTCGCTGCCTAGGTGTTCTCTTTGACTCCGACCTCTCCTTCAAGCCTCATGTTCAATCTATCGCCAAATCCTGTAATTTCCATCTCAAAAACATTGCGCGCATCCTCCCCAACTTAACGCCAGATGCGACTAAGGTGTTGGTCCATTCCACTGTCCTTTCTCGCCTTGACTACTGTAATCCGCTTCTCAGTGGTCTTACGTGCTCCCAATAGCGCTGTTACAGTCCATAATGAATGCGGCGGCGAGGCTCATCTTCCTGTCCGCACGCACCTCCCATGCCTCACCCTTCTGTCAGTCCCTACATTGGCTTCCTATAAAATATAGAGCTCAATTTAAAATTCTGCTTCTTGCTTTCAAATCTCTACATAATGCTGCTCCCACCTATCTATCCTCCCTTATACACAAGTATGTCCCGTCTAGGCCCTTACGATCTGCCGAAGACTTACGTCTATCTTCTGTCCATACTCCCACCTCTGATGCTCGCCTTCAAGATTTCTTGAGGCTGCACCGTTCCTGTGGAACTCGCTTCCCTCCTCCCTTAGATGCTCACCCAGTCTCCACTCCTTCAAAAAATCGTTAAAAACCCACTTCTTCATAAAAGGGTATCAATTAAACTGTTAATAGCTCCTGAGTGATTCCACTTCTGCAACTGTCACTAGTCTAATACTATCCTTACCTTTTTGTGTCACTATACCCCACTCCCTCTAGCATGTAAGCTCATTGAGCAGGGCCCTCAATCCCTCTGTTACTGTGTCACTATACCCCACTCCCTCTAGCATGTAAGCTCATTGAGCAGGGCCCTCAATCCCTCTGTTACTGTGTCACTATACCCCACTCCCTCTAACATGTAAACTCACTGAGCAGGCCCTCAATCCCTCTGTTACTGTGTCACTATACCCCACTCCCTCTAACATGTAAACTCACTGAGCAGGGCCCTTAATCCCTCTGTTACTGTGTCACTATACCCCACTCCCTCTAACATGTAAGCTCACTGAGCAGGCCCTCAATCCTACTGTTACTGTGTCACTATACCCCACTCCCTCTAACATGTAAACTCACTGAGCAGGCCCTCAATCCCTCTGTTACTGTGTCACTATACCCCACTCCCTCTAACATGTAAACTCACTGAGCAGGGCCCTCAATCCCTCTGTTACTGTGTCACTATACCCCACTCCCTCTAACATGTAAACTCACTGAGCAGGACCCTCAATCCCTCTGTTACTGTGTCACTATACCCCACTCCCTCTAACATGTAAAGTCACTGAGCAGGACCCTCAATCCCTCTGTTACTGTCACTATACCCCACTCCCTCTAGCATGTAAACTCACTGAGCAGGGCCTCAAACCCTCTGTTACTGTCACTATATCCCACTCCCTCTAACATGTAAACTCACTGAGCAGGCCCTCAATCCCTCTGTTACTGTGTCACTATACCCCACTCCCTCTAACATGTAAACTCACTGAGCAGGGCCCTCAATCCCTCTGTTACTGTGTCACTATACCCCACTCCCTCTAACATGTAAACTCACGGAGCAGGCCCTCAATCCCTCTGTTATTGTCACTATGCCCCACTCCCTCTAACATGTAAGCTCATTGAGCAGGGCCTCAATCCCTCTGTTCCTGTGTGTCCAACTTGTCTGGTTACAACTACATGTCTGTTAGTCCACCCATTGTAAAGCGCTCTATAAATATCATAATAATAATAATAAAATAATTCTACTGTTTACTCCACATAAAGCATGATAAACTATTGTCAGTCTTCCAGCTGATAGGATCACCAAATAAATGAACTTTAACCATATGCAATGCCCTGCCTCTCGTGTGCTCTAATATTTAATTGTTTGTAATATATATAAAAATAGTAATGCACTGACTTATGTGAATCAAATGATTGCATGTAATAACGCCCTAACAACTAAAGTCTTCACCTTCCCAAAAACTTTCCTAGATCTGCATTGCAAAATAAAATGATACACATTCAAGATTCAAAATAAATAAATTAGCAAATCCTATTATGCTTCTTATATGTGGGCTATATAATTATTCTGTTTTGTGCTATCTATCTATCTACCTATCTATCTATCGATCGATCTACCTACCTATCTATCTATCGATCTATCTACCTACCTATCTATCTATCTATCTATCTATCTATCTATCTATCTATCTACCTACCTACCTACCTATCTATCTATCTATCTATCTACCTACCTATCTGTCTACCTATCTATCTATCTATCTATCTATCTTTCTATCTATCTATATATATTCTCCCTTTTTCTAAATGATTGCCTGTCAAGAGGAAGTTAAAGTGAGGTTACATGGACTCAGGTAAAGATTATGATTTGCGCAATTGAGATTCTACACAACTCGCTGGTCTAGACTACTGTGGACAAACTCTGCAAAACATAATTAACAGGTCATAAAAATCTTTTTAAACCAATTCCCTACTAAGCAAAGTTATATTGCTCATAATCATATGAGGCAAAATATTCTTAGGAAATATTATTTCTTTCTTGAAGAGTGTACCAGGTGAAAATAGAGCATGTTTCACTCAAAGTTAAAGGACCACTATAGTGCACTATAGTTTCTCTGAAACTGCTATGTTTATAAAAAAAAATGGGTTAACCCTAGCTGGTCCTGGCACCCAGACCACTTCATTAAGCTGAAGTGGTCTGGGTGCCTAGAGTGGTCCTTTAAGGAACAAAGCATGAATAGCTGAGATTTTTTATGTTGTTAAAAGAAGTTTGTTTTTCCAGTGCTGCATCGTAATGTGTTCAGTTGTTTTTTCATTATACTTGTTATAGTAGAGCAAGGGTAGCCAATAGCTAGACCCCCAATCAAAGCCACTAGAAACATAGTCTGCCAAATTTTCTAAATACTTTCATTAGTCCCTGGCCTTATCTTATAGTTAGGATAGCCTTATGCCTATCCCACGCATGCTTAAACTCCTTTACTGTGTTAACCTCTACCACTTCAGCTGGAAGGCTATTCCATGCATCCACTACCCTCTCAGTAAAGTAATACTTCCTGATATTATTTTTAAACCTTTGTCCCTCTAATTTAAGACTATGTCCTCTTGTTGTGGTAGTTTTTCTTCTTTTAAATATAGTCTCCTCCTTTACTGTGTTGATTCCCTTTATGTCATTTCCGCATATGAATAATAAGAATACTGTATCTATCTTGTAGAGAATAATATCAATCTGGCACTAACAACATGAAGAGTACAAGTAATGAGATTACTAATACAGAATAAATTAATTTTGTTTCTCCTAACCTTTGACAAGTACACAGAAAGCCATGAAAAAGAATAGAGTTCATCAAGCCATTTTGGACAAGTTGCAACATATCCTGATTAGTGATATTTTCCTCAGTCTAAAAGGCCTCACTGATATTTCTGAGCCTTAACCCCTTAAGGACACATGACATGTGTGACATGTCATGATTCCCTTTTATTCCAGAAGTTTGGTCCTTAAGGGGTTAAAGGAACACACCGAGCATCATAGCCATTGCAGCTCTCTGTAGTGGTTATGGTGCCAGAAGAGACTTGCTCCCCCCCACCCTCTTTTGCAAAGAATTAAACCATTTCTGATCAATTTCAATTTCTACCTGGGGTCCACCGCAAGCTTCTCCTCACCTCCACTTTCATCTTACAAGAGTTGGATGTTCCTCAGCAGGAATTTTTTTTAGCTTTTTTAGCTATTCCCTGCAATGCTTAGCTGCTGAGAACCTTCCAATTCTTTGGAGAAGGTAGTGGAGGCAAGGAGTGGTGCCCAAGTGGACCTCAAGTAAGCGGTTAAAGTGCTCAAAACCGATTTGACTTCTTGCAAACTGGAGAAACTGGGCACTTTTGGCACCAGAATCAATGCCTTGAGTTGTAGTGGTTATAGCGCTTGGGGTATTCTTTTAACATATTGTTCCCATATTTGGTTTTCATTTAAAAGGGAACTCTAAGCAACAAAACTCTGCAAACAAAACACTGATGCCTGTTAGCGTGCATGCATGGGCTCATTGGTTCCCCCTTAAAAAGCAATAGGAGGTTAGATCCCTGTCAGTTTCTGGTTTAAGTAGTTACCAAACAATGAGAATCAGATCTTTGCTAAAACTTAGATTTTTTTGCAATGCATTATGTAAATAAAACATTTAAAAATAAGTAATGAATTCATTATGAAATTTTCCTTTAACCTCTCTAGTGTGAGAAAATAGATCCTTCACATTCTTGTATTTATGTATAGGATGTATCAAACTTGTCTTTTCCTCCTCCACTATCAGTGTTCTGGGTGGACAAAAAACATTCAGGGAAGGGAAGCTTGCTCTTTCAAAGAAAGGGGTTTCATTACATTGTTGTTCTTGGTAATCCAACAGCTACAATTTTACTAAAAAATGCACTTTATAAACATTACATTAATAAGCTACACTATTGGCATTCAATATATTTTTTCCCTTTGCATTCAGGAAAATGGCTTTTCGCATACCTGGGCGTATCCGTAATAATATCATATTTCCTGAAATGCAGACTATGCTTAAAATAGATTATTTGTTTTATTTCCTGATGAAAAAACACATCACTGGCATTTAAAGGACCACTATAGTGCCAGGAAAACATACTCGTCCGGCTCTGGAAGGGGGAAAGGGGTTAAAACTTACCTTTTGCCAGCGCTGGGCGGGGAGCTCTCCTCCTCTGATCCTCCTCTTCTCCTCCCCGTCGGCTGAATGCGCACGCGCGGCAAGAGCTGCTCGCGCATTCAGCCGGTCACATAGGAAAGCATTCATAATGCTTTCCTATGGACGCTGGCGTGCTCTCACTGTGAAAATCACAGTGAGAAGCACGCAAGCGCCTCTAGCGGCTGTCAATGAGACAGCCACTAGAGGAAATAGGGGAAGGCTTAACCCATTCATAAACATAGCAGTTTCTCTGAAACTGTTATGTTTGTGAAAAAATGGGTTAACTCTAGCTGGACCAGGACCCAGACCACCTCATTAAGCTGAAATGGTCTGGGTGCCTAGAGTGGTCCTTTAATGTTTAAGTAGCTAGAGTACAAAGTGTACATGTATATATTTCCTTCTACTGTTTTAATTAGAACATTTTTCTGATCTTGCACCTGAGAGTTTTTGAGAAAGGTGAAACCCAATACTTATTCAATTGTCAGTAAATCATAAAATGTTAGGCTGAAAATACTGAGTTAGAGAATTTCCCCAGCTGATTGTTTTTTCCTTAAACATGTCCCTTGTCAGTGCACTGCAAATAAATAAATAAAGAAGGCCCTCTGTTATAGGTGACATGTATGCAAAACAGATCTTAATTATTTTTTTTATTTATAATGCATTTATTTCACCCTAAATTGGAAGCATTTTTACGATTCTCCATTGTTCTTTAATCACCATTAACTACGTGCTATTTGTGTAACCCAGAAGAGATTCTGCACAGGAGTCGATGTGCTCTATTCTTAAACTGCTAGTGCTCAGGAGTGTTTACATTATAGATAAGTGGAAAGGTGCACATTCAGACAATCTCTTCTAAACATGCACCCCAATATTATGTGAGGTGACTGAAATTCAATAATGTTAATAATAATTTGACGTTTTACTGTACAATAAAAAAAAAAAGATATATATATATATATATATATATATATATATATTTGTATATATAATCCAAATATAAAGTTGGCTGCACTCCGGTCTCTAAAATTCCAATATAAATGAAGTAAACAAAATAAAAACAATCGTTTTTATTTTGTTTACTTAATAAATATTGGAATTTTAAAGACCGGAGTGCAGCCAACTTTATACTTCGATTATACATTTGGGAGCCCAGGGAATGTGCAACCGGCATTTTAAAACCCTCAAAGCGTGAGTGCAAGGAACAGTTTGGTTTTATATATTTTTTTTTATTATTAAAAATTAGAACAATTTTATAAGTGAAACGATGT